TTAAAAAGTTTTTTTTTTCTAAAGTCGTGAACACTTCCATTTAATTTGCATCAATCCGGATTCTATGAAAGGAATTAATAAATGAGCAGTTTTATTTTCCGTAACTTTCCTCGAGAAAAAACTAGACAAATGTCACAAAGAACAACGTTTTCTGCAATAATAAACAAATTTATTTATCCCTGAGTGCACATTCAATTGTAACGTACACAATAATATAATTATCGGAGAAAAATATTCTTATACGTTTTATTTCAAATTTGCTTAAACTCATCTGTTATTGTGTCTTGTTATTTAGTTTTAAACTTTTTCAAGTGTATGCTAATAATTCAATAAATCTAGTTCTGTTGCTATAAAATCTGTTAATGATACTTCAGCAGAAAAAAAACAAATGTTCGAAGATTTAAGAAAAAAATTAAATGTATATTTAACAAAAATTATATATAATTTTAATATAATTATATACCTATAATTATATATAATTAAAATTATATATATTTGATTGACAAAATACAAATTAAGATTTAATCACATAAAAAAAATATATATATAACTTTAACTCTCAATATAATTGAAATTTAGAATGTAAAACCGAGCATTTAGAAACGCAAATTATATAATTAATTTATATATACACTTGTAAATGTAAAGTCAATATAATCATAAATATAAACTATTCATTTTGATATAAAATATTTAGCTATAACGTATACAGCTAATTGAAACATCTCGATACAATTATTATATAATTAATTAGTTTTGATTATGATATTATAATCAAAGATAAAATCAAAATTACGTTAGGTTTACATTAAACTTTTATTACATAACACTTTTATTTGACATTTCCGTTATTAAGATTTTTTGTAATGTAATATTTAAAAAAATGGAACTTCAACATTTATATTCACGTCATTTGCAGATTGTATTCACATCGTTATACGATACAGCTAAAAGTTATGCAATAAATGTCAGACAGAAACTTGTTAGTACAATAGAGAATAAGGATTCAACAGTTGGAAGAAAGTGAAATTAATGAAGGGAGACGTATGAATGTAGCAATGCTTCTTGTATACGAAATGAGGTACGAAGTATATTGGTCGGTTGCCAAGCGCTAATAAGTTATGTATTACGGATTCTTGTTAAAGAGAGATCAAATGCAAATGTCATGAGAAGTAATATGGTGCTACTGGCGTATATTTGTGAGATTACGTTATATAATACATAAAATGCAGTCTCGCATTTCGAAGAAAGAAAGTTCCACGAGTAAATACGAAATGCAATAATGTTATGTCGCCGAAGTACGAATGTCGTATTTCATTACAAAGTAATGCACTTTCTATTGTTTACTTCCTTCTTCCATGCGGGCTCCTCGTCAGCGTCATCAGCACTGATTAAATTACACCTGCTGTGTTTAACTTCATTTGCCAGTCTCGAGTAAGTTGTCTCACCGGGGGACATGTCATTTTATCTAAAATGACGAGCGATCCTCTATTAAGAATAAGCTAGAAAGTGACTAGTATTGATCCGGTATATTGTTGCTGTTTAATTACTGTTAACGAGCATTGTTAGCGCGCAATAAATCTACATACCAAAGTGTACCGTTAATTTTACTTTCCTTTCATTTGATTGTGGATATATTATTATTATCTTTTTTTTTTTTTACAAGCGGATCAGTTTCCGTTTTTGCAGATCTGGTTGTGACATCTATATAACAGTATCATAGTATAAGACGAGCATTCTAGAATTTGGTGAACGACCAATAGTTTTTGTTGATACGAAGTCAGTTTCGTGGGATCTCGGAACCTTGGAGAACGCTTGTACAAAGGACGCTTGTCGTACTGGAAGAGTAGCGGCCTTTGATTACGACGGCTTCTACCGACCCCCACGAGCGAATTGAGGTCACCGAATGGCCAGACCTCGATATATCCCTTTGCTTTGACGGAAGAGATGGTTCTCGGATTTGGGACAAACGACAAGTTTTTTTCATCGGTCGCTTTGAAAATCGCTGCAATTTTTTACTGCACACGATAAAAAAATCATTTCTACGAGTCGCGTCATCTGAAGAATATTGATTCAAACGGATAAATCGAATTTCTTTTTAGTCTTTGTCTAGATTCACTTTTTGACACTTTATGTGAACATTCTCACTAGTTTAATTATTCACTATGCAAAAAAGTAGAATAATTTTGTACACGTGACTTCTTAGAAAAAATGACAGATTATGCATATCAATTAAATTTGACGAAGCACAAAACCTTACTAGAAAACAGATGGTTTAAAAACTAAAGAAAATTAGGGAACTTTAAAAAATTTTTTAGACAATGATCTTACAAGATAACATGTTTATTACTATTACTCTTGTACCTGTTGTTTCTCGGAAGCGCAATTGTGACAATAAACTGCATACAGAATTCTACCGCGGTGTAAAAAAATATTTTAGTTGTATAATCGTTGTTGATCATGTAAATTTGAATTGCATATTTATATAGTTTTTTTACATCATCGAAGGATTATGCTAATCTTGTTTCGTTTATGTTATTTAAATATAATTCTGTAATACACATTATAGCTAGCAATTATGTTAAATCCTATCGCACGATAAATCTAGAAAAGCAGATATGTCGGATTTAGGAATATGCCATATATTTAAATATATATAATATATATATATATATATATATATATATATATGTATATTTATGTTTACAGTAGCTGTACTTTTCAAATATTAATGAAAATAGTTAAAATAATTTTTATCGCAAACATATCTCTAATTTATGTATATAATTCATATGTACGTTTTCACACGTACATAAAATATTTCAATGCCTGTCACAGAGAAAAATATCTCTATTATATCTCTGTTTAAATATTAAATAAACAACATTAGCTGTCGATAAATTATTGCTATGAAAAGACAATTGTCAGAACATTTCACCAACTATACATATTTGATGCAGATCATAAATAATTTATTGAAAGATAAATAAATTATTTTGATTAATTATATAACAAAACAAGTTGATAATTAATGCATTTGTCTTAGAGTATCACGATTTGCTCTTTTTAAATGCTACATAGTCTGAGTTTTTATCTCAATGAGATTTGTGCGAATAAATCAATTCGTGCAGCATTTTGCCGCATGCGGATATATCATGAGAAAATATGAGGTACGTGATGAACACGCACATTGTGGAGATTTGCAACGAAAGAGCACGAGCTATGTACGTCAACTTTATGCGCTTTTGTTGCGTTGTAGCAGAAAAGAAAAGAGTTGTCCTGTATAAAGTTCAAAGGACAACGAGGTAAGATGTTTATTACTCTTATACCTGTTGTTTCTCGGAAGCGCAATTGTGATAATAAACTTTGCATACAGAATTCTGTCGTGGTGTAAGAAAATATTTTAGTCGTATAATCGTTGTTGATCATTCATCCGAGTGAGGTATCCTACATCGCGAAATTTCATGAATAATACATTTTACGTAATAAAGCACGAAGTGAATCTGTCAGGGTCCTCATAAAATTTAAATTAAAATGACTTTGTACAATAAATCCAGCTTTGTAGAATTTTTTATACCATTTAATAAATGTATAAAGAGAAAGGAAGAGCGAGATAAATATATTATATACTCGTATATGTTATATATACAATATAATATATTTTTAATGAATGATAACGTTGTTTGTGTTTGCTCTTAAAAATAGATAAAATAAAGATTAATTATTTTGATATTGTTTATATATTTACCATTTTTCATGCATTTTTAGTGGGCGCACGCTGAAAGAGTCAATATTTCCAATATTTAAACGTGATATTATTGTTTATTATTCCTGCATATAAATAATATCGAGTTTACAAAAAAATTGCAATAAAAATGTAACCATTGTATCGATTGCGCATCTAATATTTGTAATTTCATTCATGAAGTTTCCCAGGCATATGGGAATGTCACACGAGAGAAAAAATCTGACAGAATTGCTTACCGAGAGAGTGCAAGAGGAAAAGAAAGAAAGTGAAGGATAGACGCTTCAAAAAGAGATTAACAATTCGCGCTGAATAATCGATTGTATCTATACATATGCAATGAGCGAACTCGGGGAAAATTCGCGATGCATCGCGATGATCTTATTAAAAGTGCATTCGCCGCAATGCGCATGCAAAATTCCAGCAGGAAAATACCATTGCATTACTTGGTGCTTTTCTTACGCATATTTTCCGCTCAATCTACGGTAGATACACTGTTACGTTTATATTATTAGCGGATTCCTGAAGAGAGGGAGAAATGCATTTGAAAAGTTTCGCGCATCTCTCCCGCTAAAATGTTCTTCAATAGGAACGGAAAATGAGAACGCAGTTAATTGGAAAGCTTAGCGCAGCGTCGACGTAACCCGATTAAACCGTTGAATGGATAGCTGGCGTAAGCGAAGACAGTGTCTTACCGGAAATCTGATTGAGTGCATTTGAAACTGCATTCCGGATATTTAGTCGCGGAGATTCGACGAGCGATCAAACGAAATTATCCGCTCGAGCGCGCGAGAGAGAACCGCCGCCAAGAGTTGCCAGTGAAAAACAAGCTTCGAAATACCATTACAATCTTACAAATTTCGATAATTTGATGGATTTGCGCATTTGTCTCTTGAAAGTTTGTAATTCAAACTCTGATCATTAATCAGTTGCACGCAATTAGGTATTCCATATCGTTATTAAATTCGTATATCAGCTGTCCTAACTTAAACCCTTCTTGTATTAATGCTGTCATTAATGTCAGAATTTTCAATGTAAATTTATTATCATATTTATTAATTATGCTTCGTTATCAATTTTCTTTTTGGCAATAATTTTCTGTAAAAATTCCACTTATCTATTTTTGCATCTGAATATACAATAGTTCGTGTTTCTAGCGATTGCGATATGCATTTAACGTTTGAAGAGACCGGAAATGTGACAATCTCTCCGCACTGTGAGACGTGCGCTCGTTACTCACAATCAGAAAACTTACCCGGAAGTAGCCTGTATGTCGACCTCCGGCCAGGATGGTCTACGACGACAGAACATAAGAGGCGGTCGATCGCTGGACCCGCCGCTTCGACGGAAGGACCCGACCCGCCTCGGCGATGTGGCGCCACTTCCTGTCGCGGGGTGCACCGTCAATCCCGAAGAGGAAGTGGACTCAAGTGTGCGTCTACGTGTCGAGAGAGATCGCGTATGCGACGTGACGGTTCCTGGCGGCGGCACAACCTGAAAAAGAAAAATAAACAAGTTAGTTTAGAAACACAGCATTTAAAAAAACAGGTGATATGTGTTGAGAGATTAAATGCGTTTAAGCAATATTTACCTTCGATAATGCGCTTTTAATTCTGAAAATAATATCTGAAGCTTTGCATAAATCATAATAATTGTTATAATAATTATTAAAAATCAAGCGTCTGCGATTTAAAAATTAAGAAAATAAAGATGAGAAAATATTATATGTAAGAAAATAATTGATTATTAAAATTAAGAATAACTCTTTTATATATGAAAACCTTTATCGATTTTTGATATGACATATGTTTAACGAACATATTAATTTATGTGTCAATATCAATAAATGTAGATTATATTGTTAAGAATGTTGTTTTTTATTGGTTATTGCGACAGGCCATTTTTATACATATTGACATAAAAGTTGATAAATTCTCATTTACTTGTTCGTTCAAACAAATGATGCGTTTATTAGAGAATTTGCGATACGTCATTATATGCTCACAATCAGTATAGAACAATGCATCATTGATAATATTTGCTTTAATATGTATGTACATAATAATATCTGTCATGTTTAATATAAATATGTCTTTCTATACCATATTATATAACATATTACTACATTAATAAATATATGAAAATTACAATGCGTTTTTAGAATTTTTCTGATATAAAAATTTAATCTTGTTTTAAAGATATGTATTTTTCTAATACCGCGGAAATTAATGTCACAAACAAATTAAATTTTTTAATACCTGCATAAATTAGTATCAATATAATAAATAGTTAATTACTCTTTGTTTCCAGCGTATATCGATAATCAATGAATCTAGTGTTTTGTTGTATATGGATAATAACAGCCACATCTTCTTGGATCGTGACATGTCCTCTTTAATATCGTTTTCTTGATTTCTTTAATCAAGAAAAATTATCATATTTTAGTCAGTCTTGTTGTTTTTTCTAAAGAATTAACTTTGTTTGACGTAATTATAAATCTTTTGAGATTTAGTGTTAAAATTATTTAGTATTTATATAATCACGCAATTAAATCTTCTCTTAAGATTTAGTATTAAAATTTATTTTATTAATTAGTCAATAAAATTTTTCTTGATTAATTGATTATATCATGAAAAGTCTTGACTGTTTGTTCAGTAGTAGAATTTAATGTAATGAAGAACAATTTAAATTAGTTTAATGAATGTTAGTAATATTGTTAGTTTGATTAATCTATATACTGTTTTCGTCATTCTTCTTTCATTAAAAATTCATTATAAATTTATAATTGTGATTATAGTTTGCTTTTGTACTGCATAATCATCGATTTATTTTGTCACAATTTGTTTTTTATATTAAAAAAAAGATTTAGAGGAAGATATAATAATGCGAGAAAAATGATATTTTGGTAAAAAGAATTTAATCACTAATTAAATTTTTTATTACTGCCAGTAAAAAAAAAATTAAAGGAATAAATATTTGTTAACCAATACCGGCAAATTCTTGATTAAATATATCTCACGACGAGGAATTTAATTGTTTAACAAAATATTCTGCTGGATTTCTTATCTACGTACCTTGGGAAAACCATGCGGCGTGGCTTGGGCAGCGGTACAAGTGTTGGTCGTCGAAGAGACACTTCCGGTAGAACTACTTCTTCCGGTCCCACTGGAGTCGCCTTTCGAGTCCTCGCGACTGAACGAGAATCTCTTCGGGCTCAGGCTGAAACTAGCCACACTATTTGTCACAATCTCCTGCAGGGAGTTGAAGAAACTCATTTTTGTCGTTTTTTCTACGTGCGATGTTTTTCTCGTAAGTGCTGACACCGATCGTTTAGGCGATCGTTCAGGCGAATGTCATCGTCGTCTGCCGTCCGAAATTCTCACGTAACTCGTGGACTTCTCGGGAACCGAAATGCCGCAAAATACCTCGAAATCTACAAGCATCGATTTCGCGGATGATCGATTAGATATCGCTCGCCAGCTGACTCGTCATGAACGAAAATCCCTCGGCCACGAGAACTTTTACGGTACTTCCTCGCGTCGTAATATCGATTCACAGTCACGGCCATTTGCGACTCCTCTTCGGATTTTCTCTGCAATTCTTCGGAAATATTTCTGCTTGTCGCAAAAGTCATCCTACTTCGTTGAGCACTTAAGATATCGCACACCCTCGATCTTCCCGCCTGCGTCGTTGACGCGAGGCAATCATCTGTGAAAATTGAAAAGCTCATGTTAGTTTTATACAATATATGTATAATATTAAGATTAAATTCTTTGTTTAAATTTAGAAAAATAAAACATTATATTATATCAAAATACAATTTTTATATTATTTTATTATTTTCCGATTATTATATATATAATTGAATGATTGAAATTGTCTGGTATGTTATATAAAATGTAAATGGCTAAAAAAAGTTTATTACACAGGTTTAAACTTACACCATGAAAACTATAGTTACAGTTAATTTGTTTGCTAAAATGTTACGCGAATATGCTATTAAAAGTGTCTAAACTTTCTAACGCAAAGCCTTCCAACTTCCCGAAAACTACTCGACAACTACGCTTTTAAGCTTAATACATATAGCTATGTAAAGCTAGCCGTGATCGGCTAGTAACTATATTTAGCAACTTATATTTATCTTAGAAGGTTCTGGAGAATAATTATAACATATTTTAGAATCATGCAAATTATATAATTAATTCTTATTTTTCGCAATAACATTGCGTTTGGCTCTATTGACCGATATATAGGTATATATATATATATATATGTATTTATTTCGAGAGCCGATAAAATATTCTTAATATTATATAATTAATATTATAATTTTTTATATTTTATATATAATATAAGATTAATAAAAAATAATAATGTATATTATTAAAAAGGAGAAGTAATATTGTTCGAAAATGTTTTTTTATTTCAGCGCATATTACAAAATTAATTTTGTCAAAATTGTTTCTATTTTATTATGAGATGTGCTACGACTCATCAAGCACTGCAGATTGAGTGTTCTGACAAGATCGGATTCTGCCATTTCAGAAGTATCCGTCGTGATCTGAGGGACTAAACGAGTCAAAGAGGACTCGGTGGACCGTAATTACGAGATTGGGGGTGACTTTGGGGCTAACTCTTAGGTCAAGCAGGCATCTGTCCATTACCTCGTGAGCTGCATGCTAACCGAATCTCATTTGAAATGTCGGGTCTCGGAGATTGAGGGTCGACCGATAACGGAGGAAGCAGGTAAAGGATTGAAGGGTTGGGCAAATTAATCTGCAACCAGCTGCATTTCCGCTGCGGTGCTGGGCGGCGACAAAATACATACATGCAAGCAATGAATCGGTCGACAGTGCAATTAGGGCAGCAATTGCGTCTGATGAATAATCTTGCGACTCATTCCATATTTGGATACGCAATTGTTCGATGGATGTTAAATTTTGCTAGTAGGAATCATCTATGATGAAATTTATATGTTACGTATCATGAAATATTGCTAAATCTGCGAGTTCAGATTATTTTATTATAAAAAATATTTCAATGACTTTTTGCAAGCATTTTTTTACAAAATTTGTTTTTAAGTTTTTAACAAGAAAACTATGACACTATATAATTGTATCTTAATCCATTTTAATTCAAAATTATTGATCCTACAGATTTTGATTAATTAAAAATTGATTTAAAATTGATCAATAAAATTGCATTCACAATTATTGTCACAAGTTTTATAAAATATTACACATATACATTATATTTCATAATTATATATTTTTTTCTTTACCTATAAGTTCAATTGAAATATTTGAAATAAAAGAGCATAAGTAAATGCTAATTACTAATTACATTTATATTCAATTAATGTTAATTGATAATTGATAATAATTATATGTGTAGCTACAAAATTTGAATCAAAGTGCATACATTAATGTTAATTATTATGTCATTGAAATAATAAAGTTTGCATTTAGCACGACAAAGTAACAAAAATGAAAGAGCTGACATCCTGACATAATCTCCGTCATTTTTTCCTTTGTGCTACGTTTATTACAATCTTTGAGCGACATTGTTGAGCGCGATACTGTGGTAAAACAAATCACTGTTAATTACAATCGAATGCAGCTGGCATGAAATACAGCATTCACGAACCGAGTATCCGATTTAAGCTCCAAAATTGTTCACATAATCTGAAGCGCGATGTTTACGAAACCGCAAAAGCGTCGAGCTTAAGGGAAGTAATGAGCCCCACAGCAAATAGGATGACATGACTGGAAGGTAAACGCGCAAAGATAAACGTCACTTGGCGCGGTAAATCCGCAAAGTTACATCAAAATCACGAAAACGCGCCGACGGCTTACATCGATGTTATAAAATCAGGTCTCGATCGAAATCAGCTGAGTTGACTCGAAAATGAAACATCAACCCCCGAGGCGACATTCACGAGCTTATTAAATCCTGCAGCCCCTTTACTCGGCGCTACAGTTTTACGCTTTTATAGTGTCTGTAAGATCTTCATATATATGATAAGTGAACTAGCATGAATATATAAGAATAAAAAATTCTCTAATCGAGAGATTTTATATATATATATTGTTTATATCATGGTCAATCAGGTAAAATTTAATGTTAATTTATTAATTTTATTTATCCATATCGACATATGCATATATGTAAATATTGCTCTAATTACATTTTTTACATAGATATATAATATATAGACTATTATATAAAAAGAATGTACTTTTTATTATAAAATAATATATGTATATAAGTATATGTATAAGATTGTGAATATGCATAATTTTAAATGATATACGAAAATATTTATGCATTTTTTAAGTTTAAGTCGTGATGTACATACAATGTGTGTGATATATTTTTTATTTATAACAAATTATTTTATTTTCTCACTTGTAATTAAATTATGTAACATTATAGAACACGCGTGTCATGTTTCGATTTAAACTAATGTGTGTTATTAAACTCTAAAAGAGTAATAAAAAACTTATCACAGATTTTTTGAGAATCTCGAAAAGCTTTTAATAAAAGTAGCATTCTGTTGTTATTCGAATAGCCTGTGTCGTTTCGATTGATTCTTTCACCATGTTCCGAAACAATAACTGCCTCCGAAACTCGTTTCGCTGACGCTTAACGTCTCGCAGGAAAAGAATAGCGTTTAATCTCGCAGAGTTACGTACAATATTTATAATCTAGATTGCTCGCAGTCGTGATATCTGACATCAAATATCAACTAATTTGCAATCTTGCGGTTCTTATTATTGTACAGATATCAGATAAAAATTGATTTTTTTTAAATATTTGTTTTATATTTATAGTTATTTTAGTTTCTACATAATATAAAATTGTAGTAAACATCTTTAAAAAGAGTTACATAGTAGTCTAATTCAACTTAGTCTAGTTAAACTTAGTCTAATTAAACTTATATTTAATACTTTTTTTTGCAAAACAGTTGCTTTTTAAGATAAAGTTTAATTTAATTGTTATAAGTAACCGTTTCCAATAATTACGAGATGCACGTCATTGTTTTCGCGAAACTTGCAATTGATAAATAAAATGAGTTATAAATAAAGTTATTCAATCTTCTCGTATTAAAGATTGATTACCGATTTATTTTATACTCAAAGAAATGTCGATATCCTCTTTTTCTTTATTTGTGCAATATATTTCCAATAGTTTGTGTCGATATATTTCATTTTTGTTACATTAAATTTCATTTGAAATCAGATTATATACGGATATCGGTGTTTTCAATATTACATATGATTTAATCTAGCAAATGCAATTCTATCCGGATCATGTCAAAATCAATTAAAAACGCTAATTGCGCATCGCGAGTTCTTTTAATTGTTTTTAGGAAAGTATAGTGTAAAAATAAATGTGAAAAAAGGTAGTTCGAGTGAAAAACAGTTCACGAATGCACGGCACAACGACGAGAATTACTAATGCGGAACAGAATATAATTTCGAGAATTTTGCGCGATGCAAGTTGATTAACTTGCGGTCGCTCGTTATGCAATCTCATTCTCTAGGCACGCTCATTAACAATACTTCGCAGAAAAGTATTCTCGGCCGAAACTTCGTTATGGAAACAAGCACGCGCGAACACATTTTCGCGGAACAGTCGGCAACCTCTCTCGTATTCTGTTTGTACTTGTATCTCTAATGATAATCCTGTGTCAATTTTCACATCTGGCAGAAATATCAAAAAATACGATTTAATTAAGCATTATATTTATTTCAGCAGATTGCGCGTTATATAATTTGTTTCTAAAAACAATTATTAAATGATCAAATACGGTCACAATATCGCGAATATATGGTATGCAAACCGTATAGATATTTCTATAGATATTGAAATGTTACTTTATCGTATTCCGTTTAATCCATCTTCAAAGATAGAGGATAATTTAATAAAGTACATTTTTAACGTATATTTCAATATTTCAATAAAAAATAAAATTATATTAAAAAATGCCAAATAAGTCAAAATATCTTGTTTTTCAATAATAATTAGATTTAAAAAATTGCAGAACCTTGTACCTTAAATCTGTTATTTGTGTCAAACATTAAAAATACACATTTGAAAATGAAATAAATAATTAATTTAGTAAATTTACAAATAAAGTCCTGTCTCAAGAAAAATTATTTTATAGTCATTATATTTGTGTTTGTAAAACAAAAAATGCCATATTGTATATATATTATTATTATACGTTGTACTTTACTTTATAAGAAGCATATAAAATTCAACGCAGTCTGCGTCTATTCTATATGTATAATTCATACTGTACATATTTCATTAAGAAAAGAAACTTAATTAACTCGCAAAAGAACGCTTGAAAGTTTCTATTCTGAATTGTCATTGTTACTTTAAAAGTGGATTTGTATTTATCAATGTATTTTGGCGCAATATATACGATTGTATGAAAAAGTCAAAATTTAATCCACAAACGCGCAACAGTTCGTGTCGTTCGTGAAAATAACCTTGACCGCAATCAAAGTTTGTATCTGTTGCATTTGTCATTCGACGTAAATATAATTACACTTCAATCGTATAGTATTCTTTCTAACGAAATTAATATCGCTCTATTTTCATACCTATATATTTTTTTCGTTACATAATGCTCTCTTTTTGCATGTATCTCTATATATATTGTACATTATTTTTCATATTTTTATTTTTATAGGTTT